AATAATGGATTTAATACTCTATGTTTAACAATAAATATGATAGCATGAATATGTAATAAGTGCAAATAATGGCAATGAATATAACAAGAAAAGATCTACCACCCAATTATTATATGATTGGGATGTTCCTTTTCTCTGTCAATGATGTGGAAAAGTGAGAAGTCCAGATGGATGTGGAATCTTTGGATCTTTGGATAAAGATTGAATAAGTGTGCTTCTGTAATATTATCAATGAACAAGACAACTTTTGGGTATTCTCCTTTGTCAGCCTTTACAATGTAGTCTTATCAGAGAGTCAAGAAGAAGTTCCCTTTTGTCTTCTATCTCTTCCTATTTATAAGGAATATTCCCCAAAAACCCTAAAAAGTACAGCATAAAGAATATCCAAAGGAATATTCTTGATGTCTACAAATGGACCTATGCTACCGTTATTTTCTCACCTCGGCTGCCTACTTTTGGCACCGGCCTATGAGAGCAACCTTCAATCATTATATCATGGTCGACCCCGTCCTTAGTCTTATTTTATCCGTTATCGCCGAGTCGCCAAATTTAGACCTATACACCACGGATCTTTAATTTTTTAAATTTATGAATTAATAATATAGCATCATCACACAATAAAAATATAAAAGATACATTAAAAGTTCAAGAAAACTAAAAAGAATTAAAGAAACTCATGTAAAATAACATATTTAGCATGTTATACAAGTATAAATAATACATACTGTTAGGGGTCGTTTGGTATGAGGGACAACGTGGGATAAGATGTGGGATTTAATTTATACTGTGTTTGGTTGGCGGTATAAATTTATCTTGGGATACATTTATACCTCCGACCAAACAAGGTATAAATTTAATCCCAAACTTAATCTAGGATATCCCATCTTATTCCACCTTATCCCATCAAATGTGGGATTATTTTATCTCAATCTCTCATGTGGTATAAATTAGTCATGGGTTCTGATTCCAGGATCATAATCCCGGGATACACTACTAGAAAACTGCCTAAAATTGTCTGAAATACCGACCGAAATCGGTCAGAAAACTGAAAAAACTGAGCAATTTTGACGACTTTAATTTGTTAAAATTAGGCTGGTTGGTAATAAATAGCAACCGAAATCGGTCGCAATTTCCGATCGATTTCGGTCGGTCAATTAATTTTCACAAACGACCCAAAAAGAAAAAATCTGCCGAAAAAACCGACCGACTCCGACCGAATTTGGTCGATATTTTTAATTATGCAATTGAAAAATGCACCTTCTGAAAATGAACCAGAGTCTGTACTGTGGCAGGATACTATTCTACCACAAGACTATTGGTACAACTTGGTTTAAGACTTTCTTTTAATTTATTTATACTCTTTAATTGTATTTTTGCGTGAAAATAACCGAACGATTTCGGTCCGTTTTATTAAGAATATAAAATTACCGACCGAAGTCCGTCAATTATTTAAAATGACTCGATCGATTTATATAATATTAATTTTAATTTATTTTATATGAAAAACTGACCGATTTCGGTCGGTTTCTTAAAAAATAAATTTCGAGGGACGCTAAAACAGTTTCCCGCATTTTTGCGCAAAAAAGAAAATCTAACGAAGTCAGTCGGTTTCGTAAAATAAGATTTAAAAATAAAATATTTTAAAAAATCGACCGACTCCTGTCGGTTTTTCGGTCAGTTTTTGACTGACCGAAGTCGTTCGGTTGCCCGCGGTCGGTTTTAGCCGAATTTCTAGTAGTGATGATTTAGTCCGCGTTCCAAACGGCCCCTTAAAATATAAATTAACTCCAACCTCTTAACTTTCAAACAGTTAAAAAATAAAATTTCTTAAAAAAATATTATCAAACGGCATATTTAACCTCTTTAAATGTAAATGCGCAATAAATTTTATCAACACTGTAATTTAAAATATTACTCCTTTATGAGTAAATATAAAATTATTTTTATATCGTAAAATAAAAAATGCATGATAATTTCGAAATACATAGAACTGAAACATGAAGATCTACCAACTAAAGATATAAATTTTGGTTATCTATTTTTAGAGGAAATATTCAAATGATATTCACACTCTTGGTGTTCTCAATTAGTAAATATGCAATAATATGGCTCGTTATTTGAGTTACTCACAATTTTTATTTCTATAGTTAAGAAAAACTTTAATCGTTCATTTGTTAAAGAATTTTGAGAGTCAACAGTGAAAAATCTGTGAATGCAACATGTGATTTGTATAGGAAAAGTTGGGCGGTCCCGAGCGTTGAGCGTTAGGGGTGTTCAGGGCGTGCCCGCGGAGCGTAAGCCTCACAGAACTAAATCTCACACATGAATTTCAAGACGTTTTAATAGTGCCCCACTCCGAGGCGAGTCCCATAAAAGCCTTTAACACCGAGAAGCTTACAAGAAATGCCTTTCCATTGAAGGACTCCACTTGAATTGGGCCGCTTCGAGATGTCTACTTTTTACAGTCTATTCCCAACTTGGTTTCAGTAATGTTCTATGAGACTTTTTCCTTCCTATACCATATATGAAACCTTATTACCAAAAATGTGCATAATTTCATATTTACCCATCATGTTCACAGTTATTCTACAAAGTATATACCATTCATTAAATATCAATTATTAAGAGCTGATTCCTTCCTAATATTATGTGTGTTACCTATAAATTTATTTTCACTAAGTGGATACGGTTCCAGTTTTGATCAATTGATCTGAGTCTCAAGCCACTTTACAATTTCTACTCACATCTTTTTATTATGTCACATCTCTAAATAACATCTTGAAGTTATCAAAAATGATCGAATATATAGATGTTAAATAATGTCCTGCTCTGCACCAATGCTTTTTTGTGATATATATTTGTTTGATGATTGGTTATTCATAATGCGTACAACTATGGATAGCTCCAAGTAGGAAGACAAATAATTCTTCCAGATATTCCTATTTAATTAGGCGTGCTACAATTATAGAAGTAAATATTCTTCCAGAAATTTTCTACCATTGACAGTCATTAAAAAGCTTGAAAGCTTTGAATTCAAATTTGGGTTTTCAAAAATTATTATTTGTTTGGATTGGGTGTTGTTGAACATAATCGGGAATATGGTTTGGAGTTTATATCTTAATTTTGAGGGGTTTTGGTGAAGATTAGACTTGGTTTTGACTGAATTTCAGATTGAAACTCGAAGAAGAAGAAGAAGAAGAAGAAGAAGAAGAAGAAGAAGAAGAAGAAGAAGAAGAAGAAGAAGAAGAAGAAGACATATTGTAGAAATTGTAGATACATTGTAGATAAGTTGTAGATTATTTGTATTCTGATTGTAGATGCTTTATTTTCTGTTTTCACAAATAAAAAACGGCTAAAACTTCTACAAATCTTCTGAAAAAACGCAATTATGTCAAAAATCATAATTATGCTATAATTGAATGAGAATTGAGATATAAAAATTTAATGTACCCAGTTTGTAGATATTTTGTAGATTATTTGTATTCTAATTGTAGATGCTTTATTTTCTTTTTCACAAATCAAAAACGACTAAAACTTCTACAAATCTTCTGCAAAAACGCAATTATGTCGAAAATCCCAATTAAACTACAATCGAATGGGAATTGGGATATTAAAATTCAATATACCTAGTTTGAAGATATTTTGTAGATGAATTGTAGATTATTTGTATTCTGATTGTAGATGCATTATTTTCTGTTTTCACAAATCCAAAACGACTAAAACTTCTACAAAATCATCTGAAAAAACACAATTATTGTGAAAAAATAAGAAATATTGCAACAGATTATAGTATTTGATATTGTTTGAGAATTGGGACTATGAAATTGATGGCATATGTCGTGTATGCACGTGTCCTATTGGAAATGAAACTAATTCACTATTTTTACCATTTAAAATTTGGTTTCGTTGATAGAATTCGATTAATAAGTCGAAAATCACTTTTTTTTTATTTTTCTTAATTATTACGTCGAGAATTGGTAAATGGTACTTCGTAATATTATTATTCTACCTAGGCTTATTTCTCGCGCGCAAGTTTCAGAAAATCCTGTAAATTCTCTCATTACGTCCAAGTTTCAGTCCCGGCCCGTTGACTCAGCTCAACTTGCCGGAGTTCTCTGGATCTCGCCAGAAAATTCTCTGCTAGTTTTCCGCTGCAATTTTTTTCTGAAGGTTTGTATTGTTACGGACTTGACGAAGAACGGGATGATAAAGTGCAGCTCGTGTTGTTCCAATTTTGTAATTTCTACAACAGAAACTATTTCAAGTGCAAATTTTCAACATAGAAGCAACTAATCGTCAAAGCCACTGGCTCTTAGTGTCCTTTTGGTTGTAGGTGATTGTATCCTCGTTGGTTTACAGGTAGTAGCAGTCATTTTCTGTACGTAAATGTGGGTGAGGGTGAGGGTTTGGGAGAGAGAAATGTGGGAGGGGTGGGATATACGGTACCTTGAATTAAGGAGGGATATATGCTGCATTAATTGTACCCTTAAAATACACTATGGTATAAAATTGATAATTTGGTATACAAGATGTAATTATATCAAACCTTAAACATTGAGGGTAATAAGGTTTTCTATATGGTATAGTCTATTGACAGACCCAAGTGGATAATAACAGTTCATTATCCATGTGATTATCAATGTCAAAAAGTATCAACACTTGCAAAACTGCTGGCTCCTGTTAGTTTGGTAGTTGGAATTACAGTTTTAGGCAGCTAATACAATACTGGCGTAGGATTTAGACCTATCGCGAACTAAGGGCATAATAGAAATTAAGCCAAAATATTGAGGTCAAATAGACACCTTCAGAGGTCAAAATCGGAAATATAATGGCACAAAGGAAAAGTTAAACGAGTGGTTCCCGAAGCTTCAGGTGACACGTGCTGAATCATGCGGTATCTAAAACTAAACGATTGCCACGTCACCATATAGAGGAATTAAATAAAAAAGATGGAAATATCAAAAAGTACTAGAAATATCTGGAGAAGGCTATAAATACCCATTTAGCTATGTTAGTAATGGATTTCTGATTCTCATCGTGTACAAAAGATCTTCAGAGAAACCACACTCCAAACCAAACTCAAGGAACAGAGCAATTTGATAAACCAGAGTACAAGAAGAAGAAAATACAAAGACAACAGAGAAAAAAAAAGCTCAGTTTTCGTGAAACAAGGGCGATTCTTGATTGTAGAGGTTCTTTTGAAAGAGCGATTGTTGGTGCATGTCTTCTGATTATTCTGAGAGGTAGGTTAATCTCATTTCTTTTCTTCACTTAGGCGTTGTTGGAATTATGCTTTCAATATTTGTCTATTTCTTGGGCTTTTTGGTTTCGATATTGTTTCTTAATATTTGATTAGTTTGGTTAGGTGGATTATTTCTTGCTCCTTTTCTCTGTTACATTGGTCTTCTTTTTTGCCCATTTTTTTTCTTTATGTATATGCAATTCGAGCCGAGAGTAGCTATGATTCACACTTCTGGATGTTATTAAGAGGAAGTTAGGTCTCTCTTCTGTTTGTTGAAATGTGCAATAAGTGAAATCATGTGGTTCATTATTTCCTGATTTTGGTTTTTACCCTTATTGTTTAAGGGTATAGTAGGGTTCTTTTGGGATCGTACTCCTTATAGCTCTAAAACCTAGAGAAGTTGGGTTTGCAAAATAGAGAAATAAATAAAAACCGGTGGATATATCAATAGTTGGCAGAATTGTTTTTTGTTAAAGCTCTAAGGCTCTGTTGGGATGCAGAGTATCTTATTTTGTAAACAATTGTATCTAACGGTTGTTTTTGTTGCTTACAGAAATAAAAAGATGGCTATTCTGGATCAGGCTCCTAAAATGACTTCACTGCCCCTGGATTGTTCTCGAAAGAGGAAATCAAGGGGTAGAAAGGATGGAACAAAGAATGTGGAAGAGACGCTAGCTAAGTGGAAAGAGTATAACCAGAAACTGGACTGTGTTGATGCTGAAGGGAAGCCAGTGCGTAAAGTTCCTGCTAAAGGTTCAAAGAAGGGGTGTATGAAGGGTAAAGGAGGGCCTGAAAATTCGCGTTGTAATTACAGAGGTGTTAGGCAAAGGACATGGGGAAAATGGGTTGCTGAGATCAGGGAACCCGATAGAGGCAGTAGGCTCTGGTTAGGTACTTTTGGCACAGCAATTGAAGCTGCTCTTGCCTATGATGAAGCTGCTAGGGCTATGTATGGTGCTTCCGCAAGGCTTAATCTTCCCAACTACCCTTCGTCGAAGGAGTCTTCCAAGGATGATTCTTCTTGGGCAACTACATCTGCATCTGACTCCACGGCCGCCTCTAGTCTCTTTGAGGCTGGTGAACTAAAAGGTATCTCTGAGATAAAATTCGAAGATGGAGAAGGTGAATCAAGAATTAATGGCGTGACAACAGCCATCCACGAAGCTTCCACACCATGGACTTCAGAGAAACACGAAGCCAAGAGCAAGATGGGCGTTGTTGAATTTAAGGAAAGTATAGAAAGTATCGATCAAGATATGCTCAAGTCTGGACGGGATTATCTGGACAACCTTAATTGGGATGAGATGTTTGATGTAGAAGAGCTGCTGGGCATGTTAGATTCTGCTCCGGCAGGTGCTCCAGCTTTTATGCAAGACTTTGATTCAATTGCCGGTCAAAAAGAGCAATATGCTTATAACAACAATCCGCTCTCAGATTCGTCATTTCAGCAGCAGAATGCGGACCATAAACTGTTGGGAGGTACGCAGCAAATGCAGCAGCAGGCACCTATAGCTGTCAATTATGGATTTGATTTTCTGAAACCAGGCCGTGAAGAAGATCTCAACTTCAGTTTGGATGACCTTGCGCTTATGGATTTCGACTCTGAACTTGGGGTCTAAAACATTGCCTGGTAAAAAGATGCTACAAGCAACAACGTAAATAGAGGGCATATCGTCACTAGTTGGCAGAGTTGAAATGTGAATTATCATATTTCCGAGAGTTCTCTTGCTAGTTCTCTGGAGTTCTTATTTGATCTGAAGAAGGACAATAAGACAGAGTTGTTATGTACGGAGAACTTGTGTAATTTGTTTTTGTTGGTGTTGGGCATTTATAGTTGCCCCCTCCCACATCAACAGCCAGCTTATTCTCTATAAGTTTTTGTATTAGGGAATTTGAGCTAGGTATTCTAGAGGAGATAGAACTTTGTACAGATCTAACTTAGCCAATTAACATTAGCAGTTCGTATAGAACTTTGTACAGATCTAACTTAGCCAATTAACATTAGCAGTTCGTTTAGCCACTGTGATAGCTGAAATAAACATCTTTCTGGAATCAGTGTAGTATCGGTGTGGATGTATGCCTTTCTTCATGTTTGTTAGTTGGAAACAAAGTTATAGGACAGTATGCCCGATGGCTGAAAGAGGGTTGTAACAAACGCTGCATTTTCGTTTCAATTCATAGGGAGGAAGGTAGAATCTGAATAGAACAACATTTACGTTTACGTTAGCGATTATTTTAATCTTATTGGTAATCTGTGGCTTTGTGACATTCCTGTTGATGTCTCATGTCTGATACTAGTGTTCCTATTTGCTTGAAGAGAAGTGCTTCTGTTTGCTTAAGGTGACTGCTGTAGCTTTTGATCATTATTATGTTGAGGATACTGTTTCTGTTTCAGTTGGGTTAGGGTGTTCGAGCTCCAAATGTATCTCTAATCGTTTCCTATTAACTTTCTATGATTTTTGTTGGAACATCCCGAACATGTCTTCTATAAACTTCAATTCATGAAGTCATATTTAGTATAATCTCTCATATAATATCTTCTCCCAAATAACTATACTAGAAAAAAAGAACTTTTTTCATAAAGAAAATATTCCCTTTTATTACGCTGGGAAGGGGAAAAGGGGAAGGTAGAACACTGGTTTCGGCGCTTTATCACTATCGCTCGACTAACCTTCGCCTTGGGCCTTCTATGTTGTTTCCTTTTGTCCTTGGGCTAGTTCAAACAGTAAATTGATGATTTGCTTTAACTTAGAAAGTGTTTGAAGAAGATAAAATGGATTTTCTTGATTTGGGTCATTTGACTAAATTAATGGCTGGGGATAGTTTGTGTTAGTATGTGGATATTTTGTTTTAAATTAGATATCATTTGGAGCAGGTTTGTGATGGTTTGATCGATGGAATTGCAAAGTTGAAGAACACATACAATACATATAAATTATTCCAATCAGATAAATTTTGATGAACAATTTAACATTTCGTATGTATACGAAACCTTAAACTTATTTATCCAGTTCATCTAAGTTTTCATATTTATAGAATGTTTTTTACAAAATATATACAAAATTCTATCAAAATCTACAACTTATCTACAACTTGTATACAATTTTCTTGTACAAATATTCGGTGAAAAATTACAATTTACATAAAATATTTGTATAGACCTCACTTTGTGGGATTTTACTGGGTAGTTGTTGTTGTTGTTGTTGTTGTTATTTACACAATACTTGTATAGAATTATGTTAGTTGTATATATTTTGTATGTCGTTTCTACACTCGATATACAAAATATATACAACTTATTTAAGTTTTATTCTTCGGGTTTCAATCTTAAATTCTAACCAAAACAACCTTGAATCTTCAATAAATTCTCTTAAAATTGAGATATAAACTCCAAAAGATATTCCTATTTATTTGTAACAACACCCAATCCGAACAAATAGTAATTTCACACATTTTAATTCTTCTTCAAATCCTTTTAGTGGTTGTCAATGGAGTTTTTAATGGATTAACAGCTGTCGATAACCCTTTTTTCTCGCGAAATCGGGTTTATGGCATTTGGGCGGACAACTCTTTTCCTTTTGGGAATTGGGTTTGAGATTTAGAAGAGTCGCCACCTAATGATTAAGTGCATTAGGACACTAAGAAATTAAAAGAGAAGAAGAACCAGAGAATGGGTAAGGCTTGAAATTATCTCAGGGGGGGAGGTGTTAGGCACCCCCCAAAATCCACTAGTGTGGTTCTTGGCCATGCAACAATTGTGACTTTAAATATAAATAACAAATAAACATACAAGGCAATTTCACATAACGATTACAAGTAGGGGAATGTATAACTAAATAACGAGCTGAAGTTTAGGCGATTTCATAATTTGTTTAAAGAATTTACAAGTGCAGAAAATGGGGGTCAAATAACTTATGCAAATAATCAAACAAAGAGATGAAATGGGCGAAAATTTCGAAGAGGAAACAGTGCTGGAAATTTAAAGAGGTTTTAAATGATTAGGGCGAAATACAAGGTTTAAAAGAGTTGAAAACTGCCAATTTAAAGAAAATTAAAAAAAAACGTAAGCACATAAAGAGGGAGGGGGTCCTAGGCTTATAAATAACATGGATCACCCACGCAACACCCGCTAACCAATTATACGCGTGGTGTTATCGCGTGATCATCATATCCATGTCTACCCTTTCCCACCCCGTTAAGAATAGCCTCGTTACTTATTACATGCTACTACCCGCCCCAATCCTATCAGTTCCGAAGGCAGTTGGGACTACTATTCCTAAAGGAAGGGATATTGGCTTTTGAAGTTTAAAAGGCCAAAATCTAGTGCGACAAACAAAACACATAAGAGCAATTAAGGGGAAAACACATAGCAGTTAAGGCTCAAAGAGGCCTCCTCATTCAAAACAAAAATTGTTTAGCATGACTTGCAAGTACTGGTTAGGTCTTTAATTAAACTTAAATGAAAAGGGGGGAGGGTGGCTGATTTATTACATTTTTTCAGATAAGAAGTCAAAATTAGGTCTGCCTGCTTGTTGTGATTATTAAAGACTGGTATAATTAATCGATTACCTAATAGTTTGCCTAGATGAGACCTATAGGCATGATGTCTAACAAGGTGATACATACTGATTTTAAGGGAGGATTACTGATTTCAGAGATGAACCATTTCCGCAGATGTTAACAATATTATTACTGATTTTAGACTTACGGACGAATCAGATTTAAACGACTGCTCCTATAGGCATGAATTCTACGCGTTACTGATTCTAAAACAGTTATGCAAGTGCAGGAATCCTATGAGCATGGTATCTAGGATGCAATGATTATTCCTTAGCCTATGGATTGTTTTGCCTAATGTCATATGCATGTGGAGAAATGAAGAAACTTATAGGCATGGCTTCTATATGTTGAAATGCGGAGTCTTATAGGCATGGCTTCTGTATGCTGTAATGAAATAAACTATAGGCAGGATCTCTATATGCAGTATTGAAATAAACTACAGTCAGGATATCTATATGGAAAAAATCTATAGGCAGGATCTCTATATGCAGAAATATAAACGAAAGTGTTGTGGTTGCGGTAAAATAATAGCTAAAAACGATGATATCTACCCATATAGCATAACATGAGAGACCCG